TGTGACTTTGAGGTCAGCCTGGTCTTACATGGCAAGTTCCAGAACACCCAGGACTATAAAGAGAAACCGTGTCTCAAAAAGAAAAAGGAGTTTGAAGTTGTTTCCAGATAAAAAGTTTAAAAATTGAAATATAAAAAATATAAAAAAATTAAATATAAAACTCTTGGGAGGGAAAAGTGGCGAGGGCGTATGAGAGGAGCTGTTGGATGGGAGGGAGTCTGGGTAGATTTTATCAAAACATAGAATATGCTTGTATGCATGAAATTCTCAAGCAATAACTAAAAATTACTTTAAAGCTAGACAGTGGCGCATGCCTTTAATCCCAGTACTCAGGAGGCAGAGGCAGGCAGATCTCTCTGAATTCAAAGCCAGCCTGGTCTACAAGAGCAAGTTCCAGGACAGGCTCCAAAGCTACAGAAAAACATTGCCTTGAAAAACAAAACAAAAAAAGTAACTTATCCCATTTAAAAAGAACAAGGATTTTCTATTACTCTCCATTCAAATGTCATTAATATTTGGTAGGAAGGCTAACACATTTATGAGATTTCTTAATGTATACCTCTGAGCACTTGTTATGAAACAACTTATCAATTGTATGGGGGGGTGGAAGATAGATAAGACTCTGTATTCTTTATCTCTCTTTTCTTCGCCCATATTTTTCTCTATCTTTAGCCTTTTCTACCTCTTATTTTTCTGTTCATGGAAATGTCATTCTTTTCTCTGGCAGGCTTTGAACTCACTGTGTAGACCAGGCTGGCCTTGAACTCACAAGATTCACCAGCCTCTGCCTCTGAAGTGCTGGGATTAAAGGTGGACTCAGTAGGGGCTGGAGAGATGGCTCAGTGGTTAAGAGCATTGCCTGCTCTTCCAAAGGTCCTGAGTTCAATTCCCGGCAACCACATGGTGGCTCACAACCATCTGTAATGAGGTCTGGTGCCCCCTTCTGGCCTGCAGACATACACACAGACAGAATATTGTATACATAATAAATAAATAAATATTTAAAAAAAAAAAAGGTGGACTCAGTAAAATCCTTTTCTTTTAGCTTCTTTAAACCTCTTTAAAAATCTCAAGTCCTGGGCTAGCAAGATGGCTCAGTTGGTAATGGTGTTTGCAGCATATGCCTGGAAATTCAAATTCCATCCCCAGGACACATGTAAGATGGAAACAGTTTTCTAACATGCAAGTCTTTCTCTGTCTATCTGTCTGTCTGTCTCTTTCACATACACATGTGCACACAGTAAAAAAAAAACAAACAAAAACTAAAGCTCTGATTTTTGATGCTCCTTAATCTGATGTCATCCTTATTTGGCTATCTTTGTCTTCATTATGAATATAGTACAGGCCAGGGACATGCTTTTAATTCTAGCACTAGGAAGGCAGAGGTAGGCAGAGATATAGTTTTGTGTTTGTGAGGCCAGCCAGATTTACAGAGTGAGTTACAGGCCAGTCAGTGTTATACAGTGAAGCATTGTTAAAAAAGGAAAGAAGGGAAGGAAGGAAGGGGGGGGGGAGAGAAAGAGAGAGAAAGAGAGAGTTTAGTAATTTTATATCATTTTGTGTGTGTGTGTGTGTGCCTCTACCTCCCAAATGCTGGATTAAAGCAGAGTGCCACCATGCCTGACTATATTTATTATGTTTTATCTGTATCTGCTACTCTCTGAAAAAGGAAGGAGCTTTGCTGTTTCTTCTCCTGAGCACGTAGACTAATCCTTAGTGTATTGAATCCTTGCAGTGAAGATTATGTAACTCAGTTCTTGTAAGGACAGATCTATCATTATTATTAGTGTTTACAGCAGTGGAGAGCCAACCTAAGGTCTTCGACATGCAAGACAAGGGCTCTAACACAGAGCTATATCCCCTGCCCCCAAAAACAAATGTGTTAGCATTAGGTCTTGCATTAGAAGGACGGAGAAAGCATCATGTCTCCCACTAATATTTATAAACCATGAGAATGTTATGCAATGTCTGTGAGTTAATATTTTAAATCATTGGGAAACTATATTATAATAAAAACAGTATGTTTTGATATATGCCTCTTTAGAGTAGCATTTGGAAGGTAGAGGCAGGAGGATCAGACATTTGAGTTCATTCTTAGCTACACGGTAGGCTTGGAGCCAGCAGTCTGGGGTGAATGAGAACCTGACTCAATAAAATTAAAACCAAAACCAAAGCCATCATCATCATCATCAACAACCACAACCACAACAATGGAAAGAACTGTTTTGGTTGCAGCAGATAGAAATGAATTTGGGTTGTTTTAAGAGAAAATATAGAGATTTACTTGCACACAAAATTGAGTGCAGGGGTCTTAACATTGTCTTTAGAGTTCACTGATTTTTTCTCTCTTCGTAGGCAACTAATGTTTTCCTTCGAAACAGTTTTGTCATGGGCGGGGTTTTTCCCTTCCTTCCTTCCTTCCTTCCTTCCTTCCTTCCTTCCTTCCTTCCTTCCTTCCTTCCTTCCTTCCTTCCTTCCTTCCTTCCTTCCTTCCTTCCTTCACTTTGTGGTAGCCCTGGAAGATTCAGCCTCAGATTCTTGCCGATGACAAAGCCCAGAATTCTGGGCTCGGTGTGGGTTACCTGCTCTACAGCAAGAGACTGTGGTGTTCTCATTGTTCTGACTAGCATTACAGGCCACTTGTATAGCCTCTCAACCACTTGTACTGAGAGTGGGAGAATGGAAAGAGAAAATTAATTATGGAATTCGAGCAACCATATTTATGTGAAATGACAGAAGGGACTAGCTGGTGTCAGAAGTACAGAAGTCTGACCCCTAGTGGTTACTTTGTAAGATGACCTTTCAGCATCCCTCTAAAGATAATTAGGAGCTTTCACGTCCTATTGACTATCATTATTTATGAACTTCAGTGTCTCTCTCTTACCTTCTGCCTGGGAGCACTCATCCACTTGAAGCAGTCTTTCTTTTGACGTTGATATAGTATTCCTTGTGTTTTCTCATTGTTCCTACAATCACTTTTTCTGTTGGGTCCATCCAACTCTTGAGAAAAAAAAATTTCTTCAAAATTTCCTGTTGATAAATGGTTTTCAGTCAGGTTTTTTTCTATTCTGTCAACAATTTCTCATATCTGATCTCAGTTCCTGGACCCAACATTGATTCTTGTGTGCTAACCTATCCCCTTGTTGCTTAAGAAACTGGAGCCAGATTTTGAGCATAGGCTGTTGAAAGTCAGTATAAATCATAGCATATTTTGCAGATGCCTGGTGGCTTCCCTGTCAGGAGCCATTTCCCCCAATCATTACAGGAACCATCACCCTAGGGGGTCTGCAGAGAACCCCACACCCAATTAACTTATCTGTTAGCGGAACCCGCCTCACATTCCAGCTATCCAGGGAACCAGGTGTGGCAACTTGTGGCTTCTTGGCCTACCTGACCGAGCTATGTGACCGGGACCACGCGGCGAGATCCCGTGCCCTGCCCCCCATTCCTTACCATATATAAACTTTAACCCGTCCCTAATAAAGAGGAAGCTTTGACAAATCTGCTTGGCCTCCTTCTTCTGTCTTAGCTCATTCCCTTCCAGGTAGCGCCCCTCCGTGACCCTGGAATAACTGATTACAGGGTGGGTTACAAACCCCTAGACTGAGTAACCCACCCAACGCAATTGACACTTCCCGAACATCACCAACTAAGAGCACCTACACTTTCTTGTTAAACTAACAGATAGATTAACCTGCCTTAAGTCTGCCACTGTTACGTTTATCTAATTTCTGCATTAAAAATTTATATGCATTTCTGATTTTCTAAGAGCAAATTAAATACATGAATTGTTTATTTCATGAAAAGATCATTGATTGGCTTAAATTAATTAGTCCAATAGATGATGCTATATTTGTTTCTAAATTTGTATAATTTCTGGATTTACTCTTTCTTTGTCCATTGAGGGTAATAAGAACTCACTGACTTGGTTTTATCCCTCACATTCTTTCTTTTCCCTTCAATATTCTCTGTGGACTAATATGAAAACAAGGCACTGTATCTTGGGCTCAGCTGTGCAGCTCTTGCTTAGTCCCAATGCATGGACTGTCAAAGCCATGCAAACCGAAACCAACCAAACCGAAGCCACTCACCCTCCAGAATCTTTCTGAAGACATAAAGATTTTATTCCATATTTTTCATATCATTCTTTTCTTTTTGCTCTATTTGAAATTATGTGTTACTGGTAAAGAAAGTATTACATTTTATTCCTAAGTATTTTTATTAAATTATTAAATGAAACCAGACTGCCTAGGTTTAACTGTCTGTAGAAGCAGAACTCTAAGCCTAGTGCAGTGGGTCACAACTGTAATTTCAGCAGTAGGAGGCAGATGCAGGCTGGAGAATCAAGAGCTTGAGGTAGCCTGGCTTACCTAAGCAAAATCTTTTATTTATTTATTTATTTAAGACATCAAGGGGAAAAAAAGGTAAAGAACCCCTAAATTTCCTTAAAAGCAGACATCAGTGTTAAATGATTTCTATTCTTATTCAATAGACTAAACATTCCTTGTCTATTCTTTTCTAAAGAAAAGGAGGGAATTAGCTGGGCATCGTTGTGCATGCCTTTAATGCCCACATTTGGGAGGCAGAGGCAAGATGATTTATGTGAGTTCGAGGCCAACCCGGTCCATATAGGGAGTGCCAGGGCAGTCAGGAATACATAGAGGCTGTCTCAAAGGAGATCGAGATCGAGATAGATAGACAGGCAGACAGACAGATAGATAAAGGAGACAAACTGGTAAAATGTAATGAAAAGATTTCCTCCGGGAGTAATTACTCTGGGAAGTATTTACATTCTCGAGTTCCTTTTTCTGAACTAGGAATAGTAATAATAAACGGCGAGATGTTCGTGTTAATCTTTTAGCTGTCCGGAAGAGATTATAAGGACTCAGCAGAAGACATAATGAGAACATAATGACGGAGGAGTTTATTTTTGTCTTATTTTACAGAAAAATTTAGCAACAAGTATAAAATTAAAATCCTACGCAAACATGAAACAATGGCGGGTTTTGACTTCTCCCGGCTACCGTCGCGGAGCATGCGCAAATAAGCCTGGCGGGACACAAGTGTCATGGCGCGCTCCATCTGAAGTCTGTGCAGTTTCCTGACAGAGGCGTGTGGTTTTTCTCTCACTTTGGACAGGTGAGTTTCCCGACTTGTGGATACGATGGGCAACTGTTCCGACGCCGAGCGACTGTGGGCCTCGCTGCTTTTTGGGCGGAGTTTCGTTTCCGCAGATTTTCCTCCTAGGGCCGATCGCTCGCCTGTTTTCGCAGTTTGAGAAACATCTGGCAGCTGGGATGGGGACTCGGAGACTGGAGCGCTGCCCCGAGAGGCCCGTGTGGCCTCGGATGATGCTGGCATAGTCAGCGAGTTACAGTCCGGCCTAGCCTCGTTTCTTCCCTCACTTTTCTCGGGAATGGACTTGTGCTGGGTGATCAGGCTGAACAAAAGAGAGTTTTACACTGAAGTTGGGCATAGGCGCAGGTGACTTGAGCCCCCACCCCCCTTTCCGTCCCTGTGCTTAGAAGACTTAACTGTGTCTTCACGAGAACATTTGTGTCTTACTTGAATTTCACTGAGCTGTGGTGTTACAGTGCGGGCTAAGCAGTTTTCACTGTGGCCAGATGTGGCCCTTTTTTTTTCTTTTTTTTTAAAGGTAAATGTAAAGAGGCCTTAGAGTGGTTTTGGGAGTTACAGGATACTTGCATTTTCTAATTAATTTTAATTTTACAGATTCATCTTTCAGGAGGACTTGAGGCCAGTTTCTGATAATCAAGGTATTGGTTTATTTTAAATCCTTTGAGTGATTGAACATGTTCTATTTCTTAATAATTTCTTAGATTTTCTTTGCATTTCTTCTTTAATCTTTTGTTTTCATTAAGTATCATGGACATGCGCTCTTTGCTGTCTGTGACACATCTAATTTTTTTTTTTTTGGTTTGACTGTTGCTTAATCTTTGTTATATCCTAATTCTCTGATATTAAATTCAACTTTAAAAAAATAATTTATTTTTTATTTTATATGTATTGGTGTTTTGCCTGTATGTATGCCTGTGTGTGGGTGTCAGGTCCTGTAGTTAGAGACAGTTGTGAGCTGCCACATGGGTGCTGGAAATTGAACTCAGGTCTTCTGAGAGAGCAGTCAGTGCTCTTAACTACTGAACCATCTCTCCAGCCCAAATATGGCATTCTTGAGGCTTGTTTGTATATCTCTTCTAGCTGGATTATTTTATTTCTTTTCGTGTGTGTGTGTGTGTGTGTGTGAGTGTGTGTAACGTTGTCTTAATGTGTATTCCTGTCTAGCCTGGAGCTATCTGTGTAGACTAAACCCTCAAGTGCTGGTATTAAAGATGTGCAGCACCATGCCAGGCCTGGTTATTAAGATTTTTTTTTTCTGTGCGATGTGATTCACTGCTGCTAACCTGGTTACCTGTCTTTGTGATTCTGGCTGTCCCAATGAGCTGTATCTTTGCAGGTTTGAATGGCCTTTCCCTTCTGGCTCATTTTATTTACAGATCTCATGTGCTTACCAGGTACTTCTATATCTCCTTTGAAAATATGTCTGTTCAGATCCCTTTCCCATATTTTAATGTGGATTGTTTGTAGTTTTGAGTTCTTTATTTACTTTGATACTAGGCCCTTATCATATTATATGACTTACTGTTTTCTCCTACTGCATGGGCTGTCTTTTCACAACCTCCATGTTCTTCTTGAAGCATGAAAATTGATCCCCACCCCCCGAGAACAGGTTTTACATAACCCAGGTTAGTTTCAATTTTGATCTGTTTTTGAGGACAGCTTTGAACTCCTCATCCTTCTGCCTCTTCTTCCTAAGTGCTAGGACTACAGGAATGTGCCACTGTGCCTGACTCACACATTTTAATTGTGATGAGATCTAATCTGTTGCTTTCTTTTATTGCTCTTGCTTTTTGGTGTCATAACTAAGAAACCGGAGTCTAATGTTGGCAAGATTTATACTTGAGTGAGTTATAAGAGTTTCGTAGTATTAGGTCTCCTAAATTTAAGTCTGTAGCCCTGTTTGAGTTGATTTTTGACTTTGATGTGAGATGGGGCTCCAGCTCCATTTCTTTGTTTGGCTATCTAGTTGTTCCAATATCATTTGTTGAAAAGACTTTTATTTCTTCCATTGAATTGTTCTTATACTTATGTGAAAAATCATTTGATTAAAAAAAAAGCCCCCAAAATAATTTGATTCAGTAATGTCTGACATTCCTTCTTGTCAGTCTTTATGAAGTAGTAACTCTAGAACAATGACTAACAAACAAAATTATTTGGAGGTTTTGTTGAGCCTGGCTTCACTCAGAATAACTGATTCAGCATGTCTGTGGTGAAGGCATAGACTTCATTTCATTCAGGTTCCACCCGACGCTATTGCTGCTGTTGGAAATCTCACTGTGGAAAGTGCTAATGCGGCACATTGGGTTGTGTTCTTGGCTGATCATAGGAGAGAATTGCTGGGAGTTTAATCTATTGATGCTCAGGTTCCGTTCCTAGGTTCAGCTGGCCTAGGGTTTCGTTGTTGGTCATTTTCTCTCTTCCTTCTTCTTTTGTTCGTTCCTCTCCCCATTGAACCCATCTTGTTGGTAGTAATTTTTGGAAGCTCCTCGGGGATTCAGAATGAGCTACTGAAAATTCTTGGTTCTGGGTATTTGGTATTATGAGAAGTTCCTGACAAATGGTAGAGTCTGTCCTTTCTGTCTTTATCCCTTTATGAAACTTGACTTCTTGTGCCTTTGAGAAGAATTTTTAAGAGATCTTTGTCTTATGTAACATTACCTTTTCCCCCTAAAATTCATTTCTGTGGTACTTAAATATTTTTGAGAATTTACGTCTTTTTTAATCTACCAGTTTGTCTGAAGTAAAAACTTTAGCTCGTTCATAGAGATAAATGAGACTGTGAAACTGATTATGATACAGAGTCAGACTTGAGAATGTCTGTATTATATTGCATTGATTTGACTCCTTAAAGTCAAATTCTTGTGATTGAGTTGCTGGACAAAAGATGTGAGTGTTGCATAGCTTGAGATGTATTGGCAGTGGTTCCGCAGAAAACTGTACTAGCTGTGCCATGCTTTTAGGGAGCCACAAGAATTTGGCTAGTCTAACTTCTCATCAAGATAATGGTAGGTAACTTATTGTTTGAGTACTTATTGTTTGTGTAGTTGAGCATTTGATCCTGTTTTTATTGGCATTTTCTTAAATTGAATCTTCAGTTCTCTGGGATGTTTACTTCTCAGTATTATACTAGACTCTTACATATTGAGAGAAGGCCTGGACTTTGATTCTAACTTTATCAATGTACAAGTCCTTTAGCTTCAATGGTACTAGCTTTGTGTGTTTGGCAGTAGTGCCTAACTCAGTAACCATGTTGTTTAGTATTGACTCCTTTTATCCCTGTTTCTAATTTTTGTTTTGTTATTTAAATTCCCTCCAGTGGACCTGATGTAAACATTGTATAATTTTTTTTTGGAATTTTGACTTTTAATATGACATTTAATCATTCACCATCCTTCAGTAGTTCTTAGTAATGTGCAGAGGTGCTCGCTGGTTTTAGCCTTTCTCGCTGTTATAGTGAAGGATAATAGTGGTAGAAGAAACTCAAGAGATTAAGTTTTTTTTTTTTATCACAGATTCCATTATATATAATATATAAGAATTTCCTCTTGTAGTTTGGAAGACTAGGTAAGTTTAACATTATCAAGCATTATCTATTTATTTAGTCATTAAGTATGGTGTGCCCGATGTGTTCCAGCGTGGTTGGAGGCGCTGGCAGTGGAAGTAAGATATGTGTTGGTCCTGTGAATGTTAAGTTGTAGTATGAGAGAAGTGCAGGTACCCATGCTGTCAGGTACTTAATCAAGGGAAGAAAATTGCAGCACGCATAGAGTTAGACTGTGTGCCCTTGGCAGTGTGGTCATTTTAGCTGTGGTGGTTGGGAAAGCCCTGCCTTAAAGTGGTATCCTTTGGATTAGTGTTGCAGAAAGCCTTGCAGATGATATTCCAGTCGAGGAGCAGCTTGTGTGAAGACTTAGTTTGGCTTACTCAGCATGTCTAAAGGTTAGTACAGTGGCAAGTTATGACAGTCAATCTTTACTGACATAACAGAACTTAGACTCACCTAGGAGACAGCTCTGCGTGTATCTGTGAGGAGTTTTCCAGAGAGGTTTAGATGATGAAGGAATTCCTGTCCTGAATGTGGGTGCACCACCTCAACGGCTAGACTTCAAGACTGAATTAAAAAGTGTACTAATGGAGGAAGCTGCCTGAGCACACACGTTCATCCCTGTCTGTTTCCTGACTGTCGTGTAATGTGATGAACCTCCTAATGCTATCAAACCTCCTTTGCCTGGATACCGCATCTTCCCAGATTGTGAGCACAAATAGCCACCTTTTTTTTTAGGTTCTTTGTGACAGCGATGAGAAAGGTATGTCAGACAGAGGTAACCAGGCCCATACTTTGTTATACTGGGTGGTCTGTGGCAAACCACCCACTGAGCAGCTACAGGGTGTTAGCTACAGTCCTGTGCACCGTAGGGCAACCAGAGCAAAGCCCCTAAGATCTCTGCTCTTTCCCATGTGTAGTCTGGTAGAAAGAGAGTAAAAGACATGTGGGCAGGTGACTAAGTGCTGTAGTTCAAAAAGAAAGAAAGAAGCAAAACCAACAATAACAAAATAGGGCAGTGGTGGTGCACACTTTTTTTTTTTAAATTTTTATGTGGATAGCTGTTTTGCCATGGGTATCTGTCTGGTCCACTGGAACTATAATTATAGACAGTTGTGAGCTGCCATGTGAGTGTTGGGAATTGAACCTAGGTCCTCTGGAAGAGCAGTCAGTACTCTTAACCACTGAGCCATTTCTCTATCTTTGGTGGTACACACCTTTAATCTGAGCACTCAAGGCTGAAGCAAGTGGATCTTTGAGTTCAAGGCCTGTCTAGAGAGTAAGTTCAGAACAACCAGGGCTACACAGAAACCATGTCTATAAAAAACAAAACAAACAAAACAAAAACAAACCACCACTAACAACAAACCCCCAAACCCCCAAACCAAAAACCTCAAACAACATGAACAACAAGATTAGGGAAGGATGATAGCAAATATGGGGGTGGAGTAAGGGGTTGCTGACTCTTGCAGCTTGTCCTCTGACCTTCATACAGGTACAGTGGCATACAACTGTTTGCACTAGCATTCCTGCACTTTGACACATACCATGCATAAAGATGATGGCTTGGATCATGAATGTTATATGTGCGAGAGTGCTCACAAACAGAGCTTCAGTATATTTTGAGAGAGGCCAACAGAATTTATTGGAGGATCTGATTTAGGGAGAATGCAAGAAGGAGCCAGGGATAATCTTAGGGTTTTGGGTCTAAGAATATTGGCTTGCCCCTAAAGGAAAGAGGGAGGGCTGTGAGGTGATGCAGTGAGATAGAGAGAGGACCGTAAGTTCTGTCTTTGCCTTGTAAAGTTTGCTTTGTGGTCAGGCACTCAGGCAGCTGCACATCTGGGTGTGAATTCCGGGGAAGGACAGGCTCAGGGTTGGCATTTCAAGGTCTGAGTGTGATGAAATCACCAGGGGTGACTGTAGAGAGGTGAATTCCTGTAATGGAGCCATGGGCTCTTCCAGGGCTGAGGAGCAGCACACCAAAGACTCTTGAGGTGTGGCTCATGTGGTAGGAGACCTAGGAGAGTGGCATTCTGATGCTCATGAGAATGAAAGAAGTTACAGAATGCTTGCTTCCAAGTAGTGAATTTTCAATAGAGCAGAAGCTCTTGGCTGCAGCAGGGAGGGAACATTGCTGGGAACTTCATGCTTGAGCTGGGCAGTAGTAGGCTTACTCTTAGGCAATGGGTAGTTTACACAGTGACCTATTGGAAGGCAGAGCAGAGCACATGGCAGTAATTCATTTCCCAGTACAAGAGGGACATAATCTCTGTACAATGTAGGAGGGTTGAGGTCTGTCTTGGACCCCCCCCCCCTTTTTGTTTTAGTTGCACCTCCCTTTAAAGTTTCTCTCTCTCTCTCTCTCTCTCTCTCTCTCTCTCTCTCTCTCTCTCTCTCTCTCTCTCTCTCTGACAGGGTTTCACTGTAACTTTGGAGCCTGTCCGGTAACTTACTTGGTAGACCAGGCTGGCCTTGAATTCACAGAGATCCTCCTGTCTCTGCCTCCCAAGTGCTGGGATTACAGGTGTGTGCTACCACCGCCTGACTTAGTTTCATTCTTAGTGAACAATGTCTTGGATATCTTGATTGGGATTGAAGTGTATCTGTAAGTATCTGTATTGGTAAGATGATTATTTTTATAGTATTAATTCTACCAGTCTGTGCTCATTTTCGCATACACACACACATACACACACACACACACACTCACACTAATTCTACCAAGAACATTGGGAAGTCTTTCTATTTGGTTATATCTTCCTGAATTTCTTTCTTAAGAGGTTTAAAGTTTTCACTGTAGAGGTCTTTCAATTTCTTGGTTAGATATTTTATTTCTTTCTAGAGGCTGTTGTGAATGGGATTATTTTCGTGGTCTTTTTCTGAATAAATATGTTATTAGTATATAGAAAGGCTACTGATTTTTATAAGTTGATTTTGTATTCTGCCACTTTGCTGAAAGTGTGTCCTTTCTAAAAATTTTCTGGTAGAATTTTTGGGATCTTGTATATGTGATATCATATCATCACAAATAGGGCTGTGTTGACTGATTCTTTTTCTGTTTGCATCCCTTTAATTTTCTTCTCTTGTCTTTTCACTCTAGCTAGTTCTTCAAGCTCTGTATTGAAAAGGAAAGAGATAGTGGACAGCCCTTTCTTGATTGTTGGCTTTAATGGGGTTGCTTTCAGTTCTTTTTCATTTAGAATAATGGTGCCTGTTTTTGTCATAGCCTTGATTATGTTGAAATGTTTGCTCTAGCCCTATTCTCTTTATGACTTTAAGAAAAAATTAATAAGATTGATTTTTTTTATTTTATTTTATTTATGAACGTTTTGTCTGAATGTATGTTTGTGTATTACATACATGCCTGGTACTCTTGGAGTTTAGAAGAAGGCATCAGATTCTCTGGAATTGGAGTTATAGATAGTTGTGAGTCACTATGTGTGTTCTGTGAACAGAATCCAGGTTCTCTGCAAGAGCAACATTTCTTTTTTTTTTTTTAACCTGCTAGACCATTTTCCAATCTCCTTCTCTGGGAATTTTATCATGAAGGCATGTTAGTTTTTTTTCTAAAGACTTTCTTTGCATCTGTTGAGATGATCATGTTTTTGTCTTTAAGTTTATTTAAATTATTTATTACATTTCTCTGAATCTTTGGGATAAAACCAACTTGATTTTCTTGATATATACCAGTGTTTGGTTTGTAAGAATTTACTCATGATTTTAGCATTTGTATTTGTCAGGCATATTTTTTCCTGTGTGTGTGTCTTTATTTAGTTTTGATATTAAAGTAATACTTTATAGGTGTTTACCAATACTAGTTTTGACTGGCATAGCTATCTAGTGAGTCGTACACATACACACACATATATGCATACAAATATATATATATAAATTAATATAAAAATAATTTTATGTGTATAAGTGTTCTGCCTGTCTGTATATTCATTAGAAGTGTGCCTGGTGCAGAAGGAGGCCATAAAAAGGTGTCAGATTCCCTGAATTGGAGTTATGGTTGTTGTGAGTCTCCATGTGGATGCTGGGAACTGAACCTGGGACCTTTTCCAAAGCAACAAATTCTCTTATCTGCTGCACCATCTCTCCAGCCCCACCAATCAATCTTACAGGCAGGCAGATGAATTTCTTTAGATGGTGTGCGGATAATCGTCTATATTCTGTCAATTATATTTTAAATAAACACTGATTGGCCGGTAGCCAGGCAGGAAGTATAGGCGGAAAAACCAGACAGGAAGTAGAAGTGGGGCAATGAGAACAGGAGTATTCTGGGAAAAGGAAGCCCATTCCTCTGCAGTCCTGTCCAGATACCGAAGAAGCAGGATGTGAACTGCCCCGCTGAAAAAGGTACTGAACTAGGTAGCTAACATATACTAGAATAATGGACTAATGTAAGTTATAAGAGCTAATACGAAGCCTGAGCTAATGGCCAATCAGTTTAAAACTTATGTAGACTCTCTTTGTGATTTTCTCTGGGGCTTACTGGCTTTGGGAACTGGGCAGGACAGAAACCCAAACAAGCAGGCCCTCATGTTATAAGAAGGCCCCACTTGAGGTTTCCTCATAGTACTGAAGGCCTTGGTGATCATTGGCCTCAGCAGCAGTGGCTGAGTGGAGTTGTTTTGCTTTCAGTTTCCTTTCTCTTGAAAAGACCCTGTCCTACTTTTTCTTCCATGGTATTAGTTCTGACAGTTACAGTTCAATCATGGGATAGTCTACCATCAGCAGGATTTGCATAATTGTTTTTTGGGTTTATCCTCCTTCACTTTCTGTGAACTTAGGCTTTAAAGAGTTGGTTTAGATTCATGCTTGGTGAGAATTGGGTACCAGCACAATGTTAAGCAGATGTTGTTAAACCTGAGCTATTTGTCACTTTTTTTATGTGGTACAGAAAATGCCTTCTGCATCCTGTGATGCTCTCCTGGATGACATAGAAGACATCATGTCACAGGAAGATCCCAAGCCACAAGACAGACATTTCTCAAGAAAGCATGTGTTTCCTAAAGTACGAAAGCGGAATACCCAAAAATATTTGGAAGAGGAGCCCAGGCCACCAAGTGATAGGTAAGCATCTCAGAATTGCCTCTATGTCCATCCAGGGAAGAGACTGGCACAGCTGGCCTACACCATATGTGGAGTAGCTCCAGTTTTAGGATATTTGTATTTATAGTAGGAAACATAGGTTTAAAAAGTTGAGTGGTTTCAAACCTGGTAAAAAATAGGTTAAAAAGGAAGAAATGCCTGGGGAATGGAGAGTGGATCTAGGAGGAGTTAGGAGGATGAACATGACCTAAATATATTTTAGGAATTTTCCAAGAATTAATTAAAAACAAAACAAAAGTCCAGATAGTATGCTCTTTGAAGGAACGGGCTAGGACACTAGGAGTCATTTGATTTGACTATAGTCGGGTTAAGTCTTCTGTAATTGCAGATTTAAACTTTATTGAGATTTGTGATTCTTATGCTACAGTGGTGTTTTGGACATGTGATTTTTCTTACCATATTAGTGAATACTCAGGAATTGGACAAAGGCACTGGGCACAAAAAAATCATTGTCCTTTTTACACTATTGTGGTGGGAAACAGTCACATAGTTGTACGGTTAGAATTAGCTCATGATTGTTTATCTGGTAAGTGTGAAAGGTTTAATGATTACTTTGTTTAGATTATTGAGCTTTTCAAGCCTGTGCATTTAGAATGTGCTTGTGTTTTAGTTAGGTTAGTCACATTTATCTCAATCATGTCTATTGTCATTTCTGTTTACTTATAAATTATTAGGGCAATCTAAGGGAGAATCTTTTTTTCCTTCCTAAATTGTTTAGAAACCTGTGAATGCAGCAACTTTAATCATAGAGTTTTCAATTTTGCTTATTTTTAATCTGTAAATTTTAATGGATAAAGATTTCAACTAGTGTTTAAGAGTCTTAATCAGCAGGTTGTCAGACTTTTATTTTTTATTTACATATTTTTTGTATTGTATGTGGGTGTATATGATCATGAGAGTGTGTAGGTGCCTGTGTGTGTGCATGTTTGTGTGTATTGTATACATTCATGTGTATTGTGTGTGTGTACATACTTATGTTACAGGTCACATCAGGTGTCTTCCTTGATTGCTTCCACCTTATTTCTTGAGACAGGGACTCTCACTAGAGTTGGAGCTATTGATTTGGCTAAGCTGGGTTGGCCAGTGTGCTCCAGTGATTCTCCTGTCTTCTCCCCCAACAACCACTGGGCTTACAGACGCCTGCTGTTTGCCTGACTTTTTTCTGGGTGCTGGGAGGCCAAACTCAGGTCCTCATCCTTGCAGGGCAGCACGTTAATGCCTTCACCATCTCTGCAGCCCTTACCTCTTCTCTGGGTGTTATTGCTGCTACTGCTATTTTCTGTGCAATCATTTATGCGTTAAAGATCTTCACATCAGGTATGGTTAGTAGGAATTAAAACTTTTTGAGGCAAGATCTCTTGTAGCCTGGTCCAGTGATGGCCCTGAACTTTATGTCCTCCTACTTTTCTTTCCTGAATGCAGGGATTACAGGTGTGTGCCACCTGGCATGAAAGGGCATTCTTTATTTGTATTTAGAGTTTTTTAAAGTTGCATTTTATTTATCATGTGTGAGTGTGTACTAATACATGGCTGAAGCATGTGAGTGAGGGTCAGAGGTCAACTTGGAGTTAGTTCTCTTTCTCTCATGTGTCAGATTCAGGTCATCAGGCCTGGTGGCAGATACCTTTACTTGTTGAATCTTCTTCTGGGTCCAAAAGGATGTTATTTATTTTTAATTAAAAAATTGTTTTTTATTTACCATTTTATTTTTCCCTTTTAATTAAAATTTTTTCTCCACATAATATATTATGATTATGGTTTCTCCTCCTTCTATTCCTCCCAGTTCTTCCCCACCTTCCCTCCCATCTGTCTATCATTAGAAAACAAACAGGCTTCTAAGGGATGATAAAATAAAATGTAGTAAGATAAAACAAAAAGATTCTGATCTACGATCTACGAATACAACAGAATGTCATTAGTAGTCATTTTATTGCTTTTTTTTAGTAGAACAGTAGTATTGGTTTTATACTAGGTCCCTGGCCTATCTATTTCCTGGTTCTTGGCCACTTGAGCAGTGTAGGGGACGGGTTTGACTCATGGAGTGGGCCATAAATCCAAGCAGATATTAGTTGGTTTCTCTCACAAACCTTGTGCCCCTGTTGCAGTAGTGCATCTTGTATGCAATCACCATTGTAGACTGAAGTTTGTAGCTGTGCTAGTATTTGCATTTTCATTTAGTAGCATGCAGAGTACCTTCCAGGATGTGAGCACTAGTCAGTAGGGTGCAGGCAGGGTAAGCACCAGCTCTGCTTCTCCATGGTCAGTAAGTTGTGTAGGTGAGTTCAGCAAGGGGGCCTTATCTACAGTACTCTAGTCTGGGCAACTAACAGCCTGGGTTGTTTGGAGGTTCCCATGGGATCCCTTTGGCCAACAGCTCAATCAGAGGTAACCCATTCCCAGTATTATAATTTGCTGACAAGAGATGCAAAAGGACATTTCCTAAATACAGAGATTCTTCTTGTGATTCTGTAGTTATTTTATCTAGATTTTAGTTTTCAAGCATTTTGCTTATTACTACTGTGTCTTTGCATAATGTGTATAAGTGTGTCTTAGTTAGGGTTTCTGTTGCTGTGACAAAATATTAGGACCAAAAGGCAACTTGGGGAGGAAAGGTTTATTGGGCTTACATTTCCATGTCACTGGTCCTCACTGAACGAGAAAATGCCTTACAGCCAGATCTTACGGAGGCGTTTCTTCAGTTGAGGTTCCCTTCTTTCAGACGACTCTAGCTGTGTCAAGTTGACAAAAGACTAATCAGCACAGAGTGTGCCCGTGAGTGCCATGGTGAACCTGTGAGGTCAGAGAATAACTCTGTGGGGGAGTTCTCTCCTTCTGCTTTTACCTGGTTTCCAGGGATCAAGCTCTAGTTGCCAGGCTTGTGCAGCAGCAACTTTATTTGTGGGGCCAGTTCACTGTCCTTTGATTTTAGAGTTTTGTTGTAACAGCAGATTTTAAATTAAATTGATGCATTTTGTATCTAGTTTATAAATTGATTCTAGTGTGTTTTTTTGGTGTAATGTGCCCTGAAGTCATCTAGTGGCTTTTATTTTAAAAAATACGTAAAGATACTTACTTTGTTTTAATTGATTACTTAACAGCACTATTCCAGGCATACAGAAAATTTGGATTCGAACATGGGGCTGCTCACATAATAATTCAGATGGAGAATACATGGCTGGACAGCTGGCTGCCTATGGCTATAAAATTACAGGTAATGAGACTGGTCCATAATGTATTTTATTGATTAAATATTAGAGTTGCAGATTTTGGAGACAGGTAGTCTAGCCCCAGCAATTTAATGGTATTTTGGAGTAACTTAATGATTTGAAGGTAGGACTCTAATAGCTACTATTTATTATTAGATAAGGTGGTTATCATATTTTTTTAAAATTTAAATCAGTGCTTAATCCATTAGCTCTAGCTTCTTATTGGCTTTTTTTTTGGTTATCATATTTTTGCCTTTCATTTTTGTTTATTTATATTTCATTTTATTTTGTGTGTGTATATGTGTGTGCACATGTGTGCGCACACATGTGCGCTGGTATACATCTGGAGGCCAGAGGACGGTTACAGGAGGGGATTCCATCTCTTTTTCCTGTGTGCCACTCTATATGATGTCAGGCTTAATGACAGGTGCCCTTATCCACTGAGCCATCTCACCTGCCCTGGTATTATATTTTAAAGTAGCCTTAAAATCTTTTGTATTTTGAAATGAAAAGCTATAGAAAGTTCACGTAAGTCCTTTACCCAGCCTCTGATATGAACACGATACATGACCATACTTTAATAATAAGCCAGAATATTATCACCTTTGTGATACTGCTGTCTGAACTGTGTATCTGGCTTGACTTGTTTTCCCTATTTTTCCTGTTTCTGTTTCGGGGTCTGTTCCAGGGCCCACTTTGCATCTAATTGTTAAGTTTCGTTAGTATTCAAGTATTGGTGGCAGTTCTCTCTGGCTTTGTATTTCTGAAGAAACTGGTGATTTGTCAGATCACCCTGTCTCGGTTCTTTTCTGTTGTGATAAAGCACCCTGACTAAGGCAACTTGTGAAGGAGTTTATTTGGACTAATGGTTCCAGTGAATTAGATGGAACACTGGGTAGTAGCAGGTGGCTAGAACCATTCCAACTCTGGCCACAGCCTAATCTCTTATGTTCAAATCTCCAATGGAAAATGGCCTCACTCCATTCCTGGGCCTAGTTCCAGAGCCTACGTGGCTTGCTGAAGCTTGGATATTCCACTCTCTTATGCTTGCCTAAACTTATGTAAGTAGGAACCGTAACAGTGTCCTCGGTAAGGTTGGGAACCTTCAAAGTCTTCAATTGGAGCCTCACCTTGTTTGCATGCTTCTTGTGAAGGGGTCCAGAGCCCAATGAGACAGATGGGGCTTTGAGCCATCATATATGAACTTGGAACACCTCTGGATTTTAGACGTCTTTAGGGGTTTTCTCCTGTGGTAGAATATCTTTATGGTTCCTCACAACCAATTACTTACCAGCAAAGACTAAATTAGAAGTAACCATGATCAAGGCAACTTATAAAAGAGAGTGTTTAATTGAGTTTATTGTTCCAGAGGGTTAAAGTCCATAATGGTGGAGCAAAGGCATGGCAGTAGCAGCATCGGGGAGCTCTTGTCTCAAATGCAGGAGGTTGAGAGAGCATACTGGGGAGGGTGGGAGGCTTTTGAAATCTCAAGCCTCTCCCCAGTTAAAAATGCATTTTCAGAATTAACTACTTTATATTTGATATTAAGTCTTAGTATAATTTAGCTTGAGCTTCCTTAATATGTTCTGATGGTGTAGTTTGATAAGAAGGCCGCCTTTCAGGAAATTATGAAATGTTAAGTACTGACTTCTGCGGTGATAGGAAATATCCACTGTATTTTAATTTACACTTTAATCCATTGGCAGTTTGAATGTGGTCCAGTGAAAGTACTCTCTATATAGCATAACGGTCCTTTATGTTTAAATAAGAATCTTCACTTTTTGAGCATGATGGTCTTGTAATTCCAGCTCTTGGGAGACAGAGGAAGGAGGATCGCCTGAGTTCAATCAAGATCAGCCTGGTCTATTACAGCAGTATATTCAGGCCACCTGGGGCTAGTTGATAAGACTTTATTACAAAACAAGACTAAACAAAACAGTTTACTCTTTAGTATACAGATTTAATTTGAATTTCTTTAAAAAGTTACATTTATTTATTTATTTATTTATTTTTTGTTTTTCGAGACAGGGTTTCTCTGTGGTTTTGGAGCCTGTCCTGGCACTATCTCTTGTAGACCAGGCTGGTCTCGAACTCATAGAGATCCGCCTGCCTCTGCCTCCCAAGTGCTGGGATTAAAGGCGTGCGCCACCACCGCCCGGCTTACATCTATTTATTTTGCGTATATGCATTCTAGGACACTCATGCAGAGGCCAGAGGAAAGTTTCTGGTATCAGCTCTCTTTGCATAGTGTGGAAACTGGAGCTGGAGCTCAGGTTCCCTGGCTCAGTGTGGTCTCGTCTACTCACTGAGCCTTAATTTTCATTTCTTATTTGGGAATATTTTAAAAGGGAGAACTGATGGAGGAAGGTAACTGGTTAATTATAATAAACCAACTGCTTGGCCTCATAGCTTAGCACATAGGTGGGTGGAATAAACAGAATAGGATGCTGGGCGGAAGAGGAAGTGAGGTCAGACTCTGCTCTGCTCCGGGACAGCATGGACGGAGGCTAGAATCTTCCCGGTAAGCACACCTTGGGGTGCTTACACAGATGATTAGAAATGGGCTAGTCCAGGTGCGAGAATTAGCCTGTAAGGGCTAGAGTTCATGGGCCAAGCAGTGTTTAACTGAATACAGTTTGTGTGTTGTTATTTCGGGCATGAGCTAGCCAAGCGGCCGGGGTGTTGGGGACGCAGCCCCGCCCTATTTTAACAGAGAACTAAAAAATATTTGAAAATGAAATTTATTTTCTTAATAATGTAGTATATTACTGATATACTTGTATTAATTCCATGTGTTTACATCTTATACACCGCTCATTGTCCTCACTTCAGCGTGACTTGAATGCTGCAGACTGTACGAACAATCACTTACTGTCTCAAAATCACGTAGACATGTGGTTTGAATGCCTCCGTTCCAAGAACACATTCTAGGAGATTTCTATAGGCTGAGCTTTTCCCCTGGTAAGGTTCTGGTTATTGTTTCTGAATTATTTCTTTTGGAGATCTTGCTAAATTATTTTCAGTGTCTTCATTTATAGTAAGTCATCATGTTTTCACACATGGAGTGTTAGAAGCAAGTGACCTGATATGCCAAGCAAAGCTGCTTTAGTTAACAATAGGCATCTTATCTTTTTTCCCCTTCCTTACTCTATAGCTCAGACTGGCCTTAAACTCCTTCCTCAGTTCTCTGAGGGAGTACTGAGGTTTTAAATGGGTGTATTTCTGTTTGTCTTAATTGGTTCTGGGAACACTTTTAAAATACTTGCTTAAAAAGTACATCCAAGATCCAAGGATCACATTACTGATTAGAAGATTATTAAAAAAAATCCTAAAGTGAAATTTTTGTGTTTGAATTGAGGTTGACTGAAGTAATACCTGTTACACAAAGTTACGTAAAAATAGTGGCAAAAAAAAAAAAAAAACCAGTGGCAACAGCAAATGTTGTCTGCTTGCTTATCTCAGTTTCCTTCACCGGCTTGTGATGATGTCACTCTACACGAAACGTATCAAGCTTGCCTATATAATAAATTATATTAAGACACAGAGTAAGCTGGGTGTGGTGATGCATGCCTTTAAATCTCACCGCTCCTACGAGGGGAATTTTTGTAAATGTAAAAAAGTAGAGGCTGGTGAATCTTTGTGAGTTCTAGGCCAGTCTGGTATAAATAGTAAGTTCCAGCACAGTCAGGGCTATGTGGAGAAACTTTCCTACAAACAAACAAGCAGGCAAGCAACTCCTAAGGGGAAAAATAACAGAGAATAGACTGATTGTATGAAAATCTGTGAGAGCAGTTGACTTCAACTACTCTGATATGCCGTGGAATGAAAAACGTGACATGTGTTCCTTCTGGTTAGGCTGGTGCTAAGTGTCGGCGCTTTTACACACGGTCTTTAGGAAGGGGCGATGAACTGCTGGAAAGCTCAGTGTATGAAGATATGTCCATGTGATTAAGAAGTAACAGATGAGTGAACTGGCACGGGGCTGCTGTGTGCTTTAGCGTAAGATTGAGACTGGAGAAGGAAGACACAAGCAGAAGGAAACCCCCTCGCTCGTGTGCAGTAGAGCCCACATTGAGACTCAGGCAGATCTGCACAGCCTTATGTCTTTGCCTCACGCTATGTGGTCTCTTGGAGTCAGTGTTTTAACAGCCATTCAGTATGGAAATCTACTATTAATAGTAGCTTTTGCTACACTAGTTTTTGTTGTCTAAAATTAAAAAAAAGTCCCTCCAGGAGTCTTTATGTGTGACCCTCATGAGAAGTTTTTCACTTTTGAGAGGGAGAGAGAAAGAAGGCCATTGGTACACTGGCATGCATATCACTGCAGAGTTAAAGTTGGAGGTCTTTTACTGTGGTCAGCCTTGTCAACTAAGAGCTGCTTGGTCAATTTCTACCTTCTTAATTATAAGTAGAGTTCATAGAAACACGAAGAAAAGTTTTGGTTTTGAGTCCTTGATTTGTTGATGAAATTCAGTGGAAGCCTGTTGGTGTGCTCCTCATCCTAGCACTTGGGAGGCAGAGGCAGGTAGATCTCTATCTAATTGAGGCCAGCCAGAGCAACATAGCAATATCCTGTTTCAAAAATAACCCAGAACAATAACAATAAAAGAAATTCAATGTAAAAATACTATTACCTTTTCTTTGTGAAGGTCACTAGCTAACTTTTCTGAGCTATCTCTTTTCACTATCTCATTATTTACAATTTATAGTGTAGTGCAGTTTATAAAATACTCATTTTTTTCTGATGCTAATCTTACATAGTTTATAACCAATGACTTTATTAATCTAAGCTTTAAAAATATTTAAAATATCCTGACTTTAGATTTCTGACTTTGTTAAACTGTATATACTAGTGACAAATTCTTTTTTTTTTTTTTGTCTTTTGAGATAGGGTTTTGCTGTAGCTTTGGATCTTGTCCTGGAACTAACTTTTGTAGACCAGGCTGGCCTCGAACTCACAGAGATCTGCCTGCTTCTGCCTCCCGAGTGCTGGGATTAAAGGCGT